AACAAACTTGCCTTTTTTTAAATTTTATTTTATTTTTTAAATCTCTGGAATCCCCAGCTCTGTCCTCGCCACGCGGTCAGCATGGTCAGTGTCCTTCCACGGTTCTTCCTCCGCCACCCAAGAGAATAGGAGGTCTCCCCCATCTCTCCCCTTCTCTTGGGATATTAACTGGGAAAACTCAAAGAAGAGGAGGAGGAAAGGGGAGGGGGGGGGAACCTGCAGAATGATCAGATCACCGCAGCGGAGGAGCCATCAGGAGCACCCATTAAATTGGGGGTATGAGAAATAAAAGGGCCAGTAAGTGGCCGTGGGCCTGGACCCACGCAGAGCCGCTCCACCTGCCAAGTGCTAATCAACAGCAGGGAGTCTCCATGGAAACCCTCCTGGGGCACGTTGGTGAACTCGTGTTAATTATGTCTTCTGAAAAATGGGTCAGGGAAGGGTGGGAGGGTCTGCTGTCCCTGCTGCCACTGCAGGGGGGCATCCGGTGGCCACACGCTGAACTCAGAAGTCAGAAGGTGTCATTCTTGACTGTTTGGCTGAGAGGTAAGTCCAAGTCCAGTGTCCCTGCTGGGCATCCCTGTCCCTCTCCAGCGGCACCCTGGACCTCCACGGAATCTTGCAAAGGGTCAGTGGCTGTCCCCATGTCTTGGCCATACTGATGGCTAAGCATGTCATTATCATTTACTGTCCTCCCCAGCCAGTCCCGGGTCTCTAGACTTTATAGGGCGTGCGGCTACAAAGTGACAGGTCTGGGGCTCGAACCCAGGGATTCTTGCTCCAGAGCTCAATTTTTTTAAAAAGATAATAATTTGGGGACAGTTTTATTGAGATATAAATCACGCACATCTGGAGCCTCTGATGTTCTCAGAGATGGGCGGCCGTCGCCGTGGTCAGTTTCAGAGCCCAGACTGAGACCCAGCTCTGCGGGCTTAGCTCAGGAGCCTGAGCACCAAGATTGATTGACACCTCATTTCACCTTGTCCAAGGAACACGTGAGGGTCCCTCCGACGCGGAGTTTGGGGGGCTCAGGGCTACAGGATACGGGATCACCGTGCAGAGAGGGAACTCTGAGGGACTGAAGGGACAAGAAGGACCTCTGCCTTCCAATTCCTCATCTGGGAAATAGGGAGGAACGTCAGGGCGTCTCCTTAGGGCCGTTCAGAGGCCAAATGCGTCAGTCCCTGTGAAAGTGCCAGGAACAAGGCTGGACCCCAGCGAGGGCCACGAAGCCTTTTCTGTTACTTGCATTGTTGCCTCGAAATGCCACCTGGGGTGGCTGGCCTGATCCCACAGGTCAGGGCTGTGTTTGTTCCGAGAGACCCTCGCTGCCCCCCTGCCCTTGACCTGGACCTCAGTTTTCTCGTCCATTAGCTGGGGTGATCTGAGACTCTTAGGTCCTCTCTGCTGATGACGGGGACCTCCTCTTGGAGTCGCCCCAGGGCAGTTTTCTCTAAGTGGGATGGGGGGGGGGCTTCTCCAACACCCCACCTCAGTCTGGGAGTCAGTCACCCCATGCCTGATATTGAGGCTCCCCTGTCCCCGTCCCCTGGGAAGTGTGGGTCCAAGAGGCAGCGCAGTCCTGGCTCTGGTAGAAGGAAATGGGGCCTCCGGGTCCCTCACCCTCCCTCAAGTCACTGGGCTTCTCGGTCCTCAGGTTCCTCCTCTTTAAGGTGAGGACGAGACGGCGTCCCCTCTGCGGGTTGGGGATGAAGTGCGTGAGTTTCTGTAAAGCGGCTTTGTAAGAAGCCCTTTCTGCACCTCTTCAGGGAGACCCCAGGACTCCAGGCGGGGACCCGGGGTCTTTTCAACATAGCATCTCCACCGTCGAGGAGACTGTGGCCTGCACTTTGAGTTTCCTGGGGAGACACGGCCTCTGATCCGCCTCCACTGGCTGTTAGGTGCCTCCCATGGAGGCCAGCCTCCGCTGGGGTTCCGCTCCCTTCTCCCAGTCAACAAGAGGACAAATGACCCACAGATGGGCTGCGCACGAGACCCCTGGCGGCTCTCTGTCTGTCTGTCTGTCTCTCTCTGTGTGTCTCTCTCTCTGGTTAACGGTGGATCCCTCTGCGCTTTGCTCTGTCAACCCCCTTGGCATTTCTCTGATCCCACTTGCTCTCAGCTCTTGCCTCTGACCACAGCAGAACAAGAAAACAAATGCACAAGAAGACCCCAACTCGAATGGCACGGGGACCCTGTGAGGCAGGAGGGTGATGCATCTCCAGGAAGTGCGCTGCTGCGGTCCAGTGCTTCCTTTTCTTGCCTGTTTAGTTTTTCAAGAAATGCTCTCTTTCTTTCTTTCTTTTTCTGGTGTCTGCTACGTGTCAGGGACCAGTTGACCTTTCTGCAGTCTGCCCGGTTCCTTCCATCTCCCTCCAGTGGGGCTAGTCAGGGTGGGCCTCAGGTCCGGGCTGAACATGACCTTGGGAGCCAGACAGAGCCAGGTTTGACTCCTGCTGTGACCACGGATGGTGTCACCAGGGACGGTCATTCATGTCCAAGAGACTCGCCCTCTGCTTCAAGCACTTCTCACGGTTGTTCTGGGATTAAATGAAATGTCGATCCCAGGACCTGCCCCCCCCCCCAGGATGGAAGCTCAGCGATGGGTTCATTTCCATCTGCCTCCCGTGTCCACTGAGTTTGCTCCACACCCCGAGCCGGACTTCGTCCTCCACCTCCTCTTGAGAGCTTCTCTGGGGAGCTTTTTCAGAATCCCTGACTAACCTAAGTCCTCCTGCTGTTGGAGCCCGTGACAGCCTGTGACAGCCCGTGCCCCTCGTGCTTCAAACAACAGGTACCACGGGAGCCTCCTGTTCCCGCCTGTGCCTTTCATCTGGGCTGGTGGCTCGTGGGTACAGATGCTGGTCAAACCTCTAAGCTGTAGACTTAGTGTGCGCATTCACGTTTATGCATGTCCAGACCTCAAAAATTGGTTGAGAATGAAAAAGATTCGGCTCGAGAGGCTGAGGCAGGAGGATCGTAAGTTCAAAGCCAGCCTCAGCAACAGTGAGGCCCTAAGCAACTCAGTGAGACCCTGTCTCTGAATAAAATACAAAATAGGGCTGGGGATGGGGCTCGGGGGTCGAGTGGCCCTGAGTTCAATGCCTGGTACCCCCTGACACACAAAAGAATCAATGAGTAAAACAAAACGGTAAAATCAATCAGAGAAGGAAGAAGGGAAGCCAAGTGTCGTGTCCCAGCCTGGAGTCCCTGACAAGGAGGGTGTGGGTCCAGTTTCTGAGTAGGATCTGGCAGAGAGAGAAGCCTATTGTTATCATCGCAACAAGGAAAAAGAAAGAAAAAGGGTAAAAACACAAACATCATATTTTCAAAGACACTAGAGAGCCGTGGGAGCAAAAGAAGATGCTCCGAATTGGAAATGCAGAGGGCTTAGAAACTACAGAAGCCAGGCACGACGGAAGGACAGCCCGAGGGCCCAACAAACAGCAAACAATCCTCCTACCCGCCCTTCCATGGCTCTGTGTCCAACAAGAATGTCCTTCAAAGCTTGCAGCAAATAAGGACAGGGTCAGACACACACGCTGGTGGCATTTCTCATCAGCAACAGCACAGCACCAAGAGACAAGCTGCAGCAAATCTGGGGACTCCAGAAGCTGGTTCCAGATGGAATCGGGGACCCGCAGGAAAGGATGAAGGGATCAGGGGAGGAAATGCGGGGACACATTGATAGAAAACCGGCTGTTTACAGCAATATTGGTATTACTATGTCTGTCGATCCTGGAGTAAATGCCAAAAAAAAAAGCACCAACGACGATAGAAACAATCGATACATTTGATTTTCTTAAATTTAAGACTTTCTGCTCCCAAAAGGCACCCTTAAAAAGAACAGAAAGGCCCAGGGGAAGATATGTGCCCACACGTGACAAAGCACCAGTGCTTGCCCTATGTAAAGAACTCCCACAAATCAATAACACAGGACAAAGCACTTTTTAAAAACGGAAGACTCAAACAGGCACTCACAAGAGGGAATTCCAAATGATTCACAGTGACGTAACAGGGTCACCTCTCAGGGAGTCTGAGAGAGTTTGGGGGTTCAGGAGATGCTCTGTCTCTTGGTTTTGTGGAAAAGGCTTCTTGGGTCTTTTCTGGCTGTGCAAAAATTGATAAACCTGTACAATTCTACCCGTGCACTGTTCTCTGTGCATATTATAATAAAACTTCTTTTTAAAAGCATTTGGGGGAGCATAAAGTCATTTGGGAGAAAAAAAAAATCTACTGACGGAAAAAGACTTCAGGATACCCAGGAAAATGAAAGAGAGTGCCAAAAGGGTCCCAAGGCAAGACGTTGCGGGGACGAAAGGGCAGTTCCGCAGGCCTTGGTGATGTGAAGCCTCTGGGGTGGATCTCATTGGAATTTCTAGGGGGTTTAGTCTCTGAGTAGGCACAGGAATAAAGTGAAAAACAGACCAGGAGCCAGGAAGGAGGGGAACTGTGAGCTCAGGGACTGACGGGATCTGTGTCTGGGGACTGGAATTGTACTGAGAAGATTCCTGGGGACGTTCTGTCCTAGACTTTAGAGGGGAAGATCTGAAGTCGGGTGAAAGACTGACAGGAGTTCTTAGCCAGAGTTTCTAGAAAGAAAGATGGCTTGAGAAGGTAACAGATTCTAGACATAAAATTTCGCATGAACTAACTATGGGTAAATGGATATAAATATGAATGAAATGAGAAAGAAGCAAATGGTGACCCCTTGTTCCAATAATAAATTAAGGGGCACAGTCTCTCCGGGAAACTCGGCGGGATGCTCGTGAGCACAGATATTCAAAGGGATTTCACCTTTGGGTGTCTGGGAGGAGATGTCTCGGTGAACTGACTTCTAGAATATTCTGGAATCATCCAGAAAACCTAGAAGAAGAGAACCAGGGGAACTTTTATGAAAACCACCCAGAGTGACGCTTTTCCCATAGGATACGTGTGGTTCAGAGCTGGTGGATCCCAGGGGGTCACAGGCCCGGGACTTGACAAGGACGCAGGACGGGTTTAGTCAACAGATATTTGCTGCGTTTCTTCCAGCAGCCTTGACTGGCCCGTGATCCTCCAGCCGCTGCAGGTGGCTGGGCATGAAGGAATCCATGATCATTAATCCAGTGGGCTCATGGCTGCTGGTGGTGACACAGTTGTACCAGCAGGTGCAGGACGGGGGCTGTTACTGTGGAGCCCCACGGAGCTGGGAAGGGAGGAGACAGCGAGAGAGACTCAGGACAGCTTCTCCACAGCAGGAACTTCCTAATCTGCCTTGTTTTAAATGAGCCACGAATGTGCTCCGGGACCCAAGTCAGCATCTGTTTTGCTTTTTAAATCAACCAACAGGAAAAAAAAAAAAAATCTAGATGCTCAGACCACATTGAAGTACGGAGCCCACGCCCGGCCAGCCGTCTCGACCCGGGTACCCTGCTTACCCAAGTTGCCACTAAAAGTAGGGGCCATGGTTACCCCCATTTTGCAGATGAAGAAACTGAGTCCTGGAAGGAGAGAGGTGAGTCTCCCGAGCTCGTACAGCTGGGAAGTGGCGGAGCCGGAGCTCGGACGCTGCTGCTCAGACTCCAGGGGCAGCCAGGGTTCTGGTGACCTCACTGTGGGGAGGTGGCAGGACAGGGGCTGCAGACGGGGGGGGGGGGGGGGGGGGCGGGGGGGGCAGAGTGAGAGACCCAGGAGATTGGAGCTGGGACAGGGAGTTATTTAATGCACAGCTTCCAAACTCTCGGCGAGATCAATAAAAGGGGCCCTTGGAGGGTTCTCTGGGACCCTCTGGTTCTAGGTGAGCGGTCCCCACTTTCGGAGTTTCTCGGACCTGGGGCGGGGGGCCATCTGTTGGTTTACGTTGTTTTGCTGCCTCCACCCAAGAGACGGATCCTGGGCTCGCTGGGTTGGCCTGAGTCCTGCCTCTGCTGGAACAGGAAGCCAGTGCCTTCGCGGGGTGACCTTGGCGGGGTGACCTTGGCGGGAGGCGCAGCCCAGGGCACCCTCACCCAGGCCTTCCCCGCAGCTGAGCCTTTTCCGGTGACCTGCAGGCCTTCCTGGCTTCTACCCCCCCCCCCCATTAGGAGGCAATAACATGGTTTGTGGAGAGCCAGGCTTCTGGAAAGTGAAGAAATCACGCTGCCTGGGCTCCTTAATGAGCTGCCACTTGAGATCAAGTTCTTTATCAAAACCCCCCTCCATCGGCCGGATGCCCCGTGCTCTGGGGACCAAGCCCTCCTCCTCCTTGGGAAAGCAGAACCTTCAGGAAATGGCCTTGTGCTGAAAACCCCCAGACCCCTAACCAAGTCCACGTGCCCTGTCATCCACAGCTGGGGACGTCCTCGCCACCCCCTGCGTTGGGTTGCAGACATCACCTGGACCCTTGAGTCCCCAATCTTGTTTAGTGACCTTTTGACCCAAAGTACACAGTCAGCAGACAGATGCCCGTCACCACGCAGGGCAGACAGAGAAACGGACACTCGTGAAACCAGGAGGCCGTGGGGCTGGACGGGAGCTGGGAGGCTGCTTTCTCTTGGGGACCTTGTGGGGGGCTCGCTTGGCTTCTTTTTTCCTCCTTTTAAACAGATGAAATTGTTGCAATAATTAAGCTAAAAGAAGCAGAGGAGCAACTAGCAGATATCGTCAGGTGTCATAATAGGCGGTGGTGACAGGGAGAGAGAGAGAGTTATTTAATTCACAGCTTCTAAGCGCCGGGGGAGGCTACCTTTTTTGGGGGGTGGGGGGTAGAAAAAAAATCAGTGGGTCAGAGCTTAGATTCAGGGTGAACCTATTAACTTGATATTTACCCAAATTGTTCAACCCAATTAAGCTGTTTTGATGATCAACATCTCGGCCTCGCTCGCCCCAGAACCTCCTCCCTCATGAGCCGGGCCTCACATCCTCTCTGTTATCTTGCTTGGTCTTGGCAGCATATTGACCCGGGATCCAAATATGCTTTTTCTTAGAAAGGTGGCTCTAATTAGAAGCGGTTTATAAATCTTCGCGGAAATGAGCATCACTTAGAACGATGACTCTGAGCCGCACACAGGACTTTTGTCCCCCCTCTGTTCTCTCTCTCCCATCCCTCGCCGTATTTCTCTGCCAGAAACTCGATGGCATATTTTAGCAAGAGCTCAAGTGAATGCAAATGTCCTTGTCTGTGGTCACAGGCACTGTCACGTTCTTGTTTGCATTGCCTACAGCGAAAATTGGCACTTCCCTTTTTCTGCCAGAATTTTTTTTGACAGGCTCTTCAAAAACTGCTCCCCAGAAGCCCCACTTGGACAGATCCTTGTCTACTGTCCCTTGTCACGATGGCCTGCAAGGCTTGCCTTCTTAACTCAGGCTCCCCGTAGCGGTTGGGTCCTGGATTCAAATCCCGACACCACTGATTGCTTCCCCGGGAGGTTTGGCCACCTCTCCAAAGCTCACCGTGGTCATCTCTTCAGACAGGGGTTAAGATCGCACCTGTTCTACATGCTGAGCACAGATGCTCAGAAAAGTGGCAGCTGTGACTCTGCTCTCTAGAGTCACTGGGTGACCAGAGAGCCCAGGAATTTGCAGAGAGCCTTTCCTGCTTCTGCAGATGAAGACGAAGAGATCAGAGAGGTTAAGTGGGTTGTCCAAAGGTAAACAGTCAAGTAGTAGGAGATCTGGGAACCAGGCCTCCTAACCCAGGGCGATACCTGCCCCATCACCATTGGGAGCTCTAGGAACCTCTTGCCATGGAAGACCAATCAAGATCGGGCTATTTCAGAGGAGATATTGAGGGGGAGCTCTAACCTATTCCCTTCCTAGGTCCCACCTGGACCATAGGCTCCTCTTCAGGTCCCAAGCTTTGATGCTAATGAACTGCCTATGAGACAAGTCAACCCTAGAGACATGGAACCAGTCATCCTAGTCTTAACTGTACACCTACTGTGCGACACTAGGGTTACCGCAACGATCAAAGCTGACATATTTCTTGTCTTTTAAGGAGCCTCCGGTTTGCAAAGGAAGAGGATTATGAGGGCGAATTTCAAGGCTCCAGGAAGCACATGAGGTGGCTCAGGAGGCTGTGTTCAGGGAAGGCTTCGCTAAGGAAGCCACAGTTAACACTGGGAAAAAAGTACAAGTCCCAGGAGGACGAGGAAGATGAAGCTCAATGTCTTATGGAAAACCCAGTTTGGCCCCTGAGGAGGGTTGGGGCTGGAGGACCTGGCTGGGGGCAGACTGTGCAGAGCCTTGTGAGTCCCACTCATTCTCATTTTGGGGGCACTAGTGGGGGGAGCACTGGAGTGCTTCTACTCAGGGAAGGACAAGGTAGGAAGACAGTCAGAGGGATGGTAGGGGGGCGCTGGGAGGGCTGACGGAACCATCCAGAGAAGAAACGCTGGTGTTGGGGACCAGGTGGTGGTCACCTGACGAGGGAGGCAGGACACCTCCCTTCGAGTACCTGATTGGACCCCAGGGGCAACAGAGAGGGGGAGAGCAGAGACCCACACTGGGTGCAGGAGAGCATCACTTGTTTAGATGGGGAAAGGTACTCGGGACCTCAGGGCTCCTCCGCTAGTGGCTCTCAGCCAGAGCATTTGACCTGCTGAGGGCAATTTTGAGACATCTTTGGTTGTCACACAGGAGGGACCGCATCCCGGGATGCTGCCTACCTTCCATCAATGCATAGAACTGCCCATGGGGTCCCTAGTGCCTTGCTGAAACCCAACCTCTGTAAAGAAGAATCCCATTTGACTTTTGCAATTATTTAACCCTTTGACGGGAATCAATGGAGCAAAGTCCGCCCTAATCTGGCAACTCTCTGGGAGGGAAACTTGGGCCACTTTGAATGTGCGCATAGATCTATTTATATATAGAGAGAGAATGAATGACAAGATTGATCTGCTGGGCTCTGTGGGTGGGGGATGCACCTGTCACATCCCAGGTACCCTGGAAGAACTTGTTCCTTGGAGGAGAAAGGTAATATCTCCTTCCTCTCTACCTCCAGGGTAGGTTCCAGCTTTGGCTCAGCATCTCGTCCCACCCTGTCTGTATCCAGCCAGCGTTCAAGATTCAGATCCGTCGGCTTCCCTGACGCCTCTTGCTGAGACTGAACTTGTTCCTACCCCTAAGCTCCTGAAAGTAGTTGGCTCTCTGTATCTGTGGGTTCTGCATCCACGGGTTCAGCCAGCCATGGATAAAGCATCTTTGAAAAAAAATTGAGCGTGTTCTGAACATGTACAGAATTCTTTCTTGTCATCAGCCCCTGAATAAGACAGTTGACAACGGTTTGCAGAGTTCTGAGGTCGCGTTAATTATTATAAACCATCTAGAGAGTATCTCAAGTGCGTAGGTTCTGTGTAAATCCTGTGCCACTCTGAGGTGGGACCTGAACATCATCAGAGCTTGGTATCCATAGGGGGTCCTGGAACCAATCCCTTAGGGACATTGAGGGATGACTGCCCATTCTTTGCTTTATCTGAGGGGGGCGTACCAGGGATTGAACTCAGGGGCACTCAACCCCCGAGCCCCATCCCCAGCCCTATTTTGTGTTTTATTTAGAGACAGGGTCTCACTGAGTTGCTTACGGCCTCACTAAATTGCTGAGGCTGCCTTTGAACTCGCGATCCTCCAGCCTCAGCCTCCCGCTGGGACTACAGGTGTGTGCCACCGTGCCCGGCTGCTCTTTCTTTTTGGTGCATTTCATTTGCCCTCCTAATTTCATAGCTCCTTATTAATATTCTCTCCAACAGAACTGTGGGTTCCTTGGGAGAAGACGCCAGAGTTGGTTCTGTTGGTGCCTTCGTAACATCTGTCACGTGGAGGGGGACAATATACACTTCAGGAGATGCTCCTGACCACGTACCAGTCTACAATGGGGAGGATTCTCTGTCTCCCTGCCGCTGAGCTGCGGTTCACTATGGAACTCTGACCACCCTGCACCTGTCCCAGAAACCATCCCTGCCAATGTGGCCTTCCCTCTTAGCAAAATCCAGAAACCCGGAGGCACCTCCAGTCTTGCAGAGAGATCACCAGACACGCCGGTGTTTGAGTTAAAGCTACCGATGGCATAAAATTCCAAGGTAGGCAGAAATAACCTTCTATCAAGATTGAGCCCCGCAAGAAATTTCCTCCGCAGAGTTTGAGAACAGGAATGTAGAAGGGAAGATGCCACCAACTCGTGATAGAAGGGATCCCATTACTAGAGATTATGATTTTTGGATTTAGCTGTCAGAAAGATCTCCGAGAAAAATACGCTGGTGTATTCAGCCCAAGAAAGGTTTAATTGGCTTCTGTCAGATTTCATGGGAGTGCGCCTCGCCACTGCACCCCCTATGGATTCTTGCAGCCTTTGAATTTTGCAGCTGAAGGCAGCATCTTGAGAGGAGGTTCGGGTGTTGAAAGGTAGTCAAGACCAGGTCTCCCTCTCTGGTTGTGCAAAGGCTGGTCAAGCCTGAATTCCTCAAGCCCTCTGTGTTTTCCAGGGTCCAGAATGGTGACCCATGTGTGTACCTTCATGCCCTTCTGTACTCCCCCACACCTACAAGAATGCTTGGACCTCTGTAAACATTAGCTGAATGAATCCCCCCAACCTTCTAATGGGTTTTATATGGGACCACTGTGGACAAATGTCCCTGACATTCCCAATCGGTTGTTGCACAGGGTAGGAAATAGGGATCTCTTTCTTCTTGGGGTTCATCTTCATCAGTGTGTGTGGTTTGGGACCCCCAGTGTTTGAATTTTTGTGAAATCATTTGTTCATCAAATATTCATCTCCAATGCTACCACCTCTCCCTCGCCCAGGGTTTCTACCCTATGTGAGATACACACTTTCTCAGTCATTCTTGCAGCTAGAAAAGGCTTGTGACACTGTTTTGGCAAATGAGACATAAGAGGAAAGGCTTTGCTTGCTTCACAAAAGACACAGACGCAGCTCTTACTCTCCACTTTTCTCCTTTTCTATAGAAGGTGGATGTGATGCCAGGAGCTGGGGAAGCCACTTTGTAACCATGAAGGAAGAGACCCTCCAGCCCTGACACTAGTGAGCTCTTGAAACAACACCAGCACCCTCTACCTCCGGATCTCACGTTAATGTCAGTCTTCTCCAGTTTTTCTCTTATTTGCAACTAGAAATTTTTCTAATGGCTGCATAGTGTTTCTCTTTACGCTTCCTATCTTTTGGTTTTCTATGGAATCCAAATTTGAATAATGGGGATGTGTGGGCAGTTAAATAAATCTAAGGGACCCAAACCATGCTCAGGGGCACCCGGTTTTCTATTGATTTATTTATATGATTAGGTATGTACGTATTTATTTTTATTTATTTAAGTTTTTGAGGTTTTGGTGCTCTATTTTTATTTTTTATTTTTTTTAAGACAAAGTTTTGCTGAGTTGCCCAGCCTGCCCTTGAACGTGCAATTCTCCGTCCTCTGCCTCCCAAATAACCTTAACCTCCTGAGTGCACTAGTGAACCCGGCTGTCCCCTTTTCCATAACAGGGGTTTCTAAATGGGTCAGGCATTCTCTCCTGCAAGGTACCTCGTTCTGCTGCAAGGAACCAAATTTAGGTTCCTGCCCCCTGCTTTTTCCTTTCTGCCCTCAAGTTGGGACACGGCCTCGCTAGTAATGTGAGTACTCAGCCTGTCCTGGTTGACTGGGTCTTCAGAATGTTGGTGGCCGTGCTCCAAGGGAGGACACAGCACAAGTGGTACTAATAACCACAATCACTACTTACTGGGGACTAACCATATATTGGGGATTGGGCTCAGTATTACACATGCACTATCTCACATACTGTGTGACTTCAAAGGCAGCGTTTCTAAGTCGCATCCGCAAGGGCCCATGATCTGTTTCTGCCCCTCTCCTCCTCTCCCTGAGCAACTGCCTGTTTGCAGAAGGGCCTGGGCCAGCACACAGAGTGTCTGTCGCTCTTCCTGTGCTGGGAGGTAATGAACGGGCTTCTTGCCTGCACCCTGATTTATCACAGACGGAAGCCGCCTGTCACATGGGCCTGCAATTAGACACAGCAAGATTCGCTAAGGCAAGCGTTAGGCCACAGAGGGAAAGGAAATAAATAGACCTTTGAGTTTTGCCGTTGGCAAAACAATGCAGTCAGAGGAGCCCCTGGAGAAAGAAAAGGAGTCACAGCTATTTTTCTGGTCTAAGGTGTGTCCTCAAAACAGGTCCAGCCAGTTTGGGATTCTTCAGAATTAAATCTCAAGTGGCTGTTGGATATTTTATTTTTTCAGGGTAGTCAGTGAGTGATTCAGTGCAGGGCGGCGGGCGGTGGTCTCCATGGTTAGAGTGCAAAGAGGTCAGGCAGCTCGGGGCTCACTTCTGACAAAGACCCGTGACTCACTCCCCAGGGACCAGCGTTAGCCTCTTTAGGCTGCGATTCCTTCCACCCGGACAGGGAAGAAAATCATTTCACGTTTTCGGTGGACGCGTGTGGTTGCGCTGGGCGTCCAGGTGTTCCTTGCTGGGGAAAGTCTTTCTAAAAGGTGTTGATTCTCCTTTTGGGATTCGGGTTGGCTCAGCTGGGTGCAGAGCAAGATTCTCCTGGTGCAGACGCTCCTTCATCATTTGGGGGGAGTGGAGAAAAGACGCGCAGGTCTGTGTCCTCTGCATACCTAGGGTTCTGTCTGCTTTGTCCCCTGCTCCCCAGCCCTGCCCACTCACTTCTCAGCAGAGAACTAGACCCTGGCGCTCTGCAAGTGTCCGTCTCCCCGGGTGCAAGACCATACCAGCTTCATCATGGAGGTTGTTAACAGGATTAAAGGACCGACCGACCGTATCATGGTGGCTAAGCTATAATTCACCTCTTCTAAGATGCACATCCCTCCCCACCCATGTTTTAACATCTCTGAAACCAGGACACATCTTATCCTCTCATTAAAACATAATCAAGATGCATCTTAAAATGGCACACCCGCCCTGCAGAGGAGATCGAGGCTGACCGGCCAGAGGTTATGCAACCCAGTAAGCGGCAGAGTTGGGGTTCACATCCACATAGTTTGCTGAAGAATCTCTACTTTTAGTTACCCAGCTAGAATATGAGCAGAACCCCCGGAACCGGGAAGTCTTAGGATCTGCCCAAATTAGGGAGTGCTTTCTTCTCTCTGGATTTTTAATGACACGGTTCCTGAGAGACCGAGCTTGCCTCAGGGATCCCACACCTTTTTAGATTTTGGCCAATAGCATTCCCATTCTAGAACATGGGAGAGGTGTTCTTCATTCCCCCCACCCCTTCCTAGCTTTTTCCAAGATGAAAATTGTGGGTTCACAGTCATCTCCCCCCCCCCCCCACACACACACACAGCAGCCTGCTCCTCCCTCCATCCGGTCTGTGGCTAATCCCATTAGACTTCTCTTTTGCTTCTGTGGGAAACAAAGCCCAAAGGGATTCCCTTAAACAGATTAGGGAGCACAACAGGGGGGGGGGGGCAGGCTGGAAGGTTTCTTCCACAGAAGACCTTCAAGTGGAGGATTTGCATATTTATGTTTCTTCTGCCTAGGAGAAGAAAAAACCAACAACACAAAAACAAGACCACAAGAAGACGCTCTAAGTGCTGCCCCCCATTAGTTAGGATCTGAAAAGCTTGTCCCTGGGAGGAGGAGAAAGGTCTAGACTCAGAGGGCTTCAAGGTTTCCCCAAGACTTGCCCCCCCCCCCAATAGGAGCTAATGCCGTGGACCCTAGGGCCATGCAGCAGGGGTGGGGGGCAGCCACACCTTCCTCCTCTGGGATGCCGGATCTCTCCTACAGTGCTCCCCGTGGACACCTACTGGCTGCCTGGCATTTTCTTATACTCTTTAGGTATTTTTTCCTCTGCTCCAAACAAACCTGGAAACTCCTGGATCATGCCCTGCAGCTTCTCCCGGTATCCCCTGTGGTGCCCAATGGATGATGAAATAGAGAGGGGGCGGAACTCTGGAGCAAGAAAGATCTGCTCCTGGAAGCCTTCGAGAATGTACCTCATGCACCTGAGCCAAGGTCGGCCAAGGCAGCTCCCTACCAACCATCATCCTCTGGGGCACAACTGTCATTATCATTGGCTTTACTTGCCCCAGATGACCAACCCACCCGCTGTCTACAGGGTTTCCTGTGATTTTTCCCTTTCTAGTTAACCCATCTTAGGTTAATCAGTGCCTTCTGATCTAAGAGACAGGGTCTGTGTGGCATTCTGACCTCAGTATCTTCCTCCATATTCCTCATTTCTCTATCCTTGAATGGAAGAGTTGCATAGGCACCTGTCTTCTCTCCTCCCCAAATAGCACGCGCACATGCGCGCACACACACACAAGTCTTGAGCTAGCTATCCTTTTCTTTGCTCCCATGAGACCCTAGGCTATTTCCCTACCACATCACTATTCACCTTGCATTATAATCACCTGCCTCTTCCCTCCTTCACTCCCCACCCCAAACATAGGCCCTCTCGGCAGTGAGGTTCTTGGAAGAGAGTTCGGAGCACATAACAGGGAATCAGTGAATCTTTGCTGAATGAACGGGGTATCCATACAATTAAAATCTTAGCAGCACTTACTGGGTCAGGAATTGTCCTAAGGGCTGGTGGCCTACATTGAGTCACTGAATGCTTACAGCAATCTCATGCAGAGGGACTGTAATATCCCCATTTTGCAGAGAAGTTCTGTCTCTTGTCCAAGGCCACGGGGATGCTAAGTTGCAGATCCAGGGCAGACCCAGCCTGTTCCTGTCAGCTGACCCTGCTCTGATCTCCCGGCTGCTACTGAAACCGCCAACTGGCTCCTCACTCTCTTACCCTGGTTGCTATCCTGGGAAGTTCAGTCCCCAAGGGGGCCATTTGGATCAAACACACTTCTGTGCAGCATTTAGAGATGAAAGGAGATTCGCAAAGCTGCCTCCTGCAGACGGATCTCACCAAGAGGGCTGAGCAAGAGGAGTGCACAATGGTGTGTCCATCTTCCAAGAAGATCAGTTAGAGGACACTTGGGGCCATGTGCAAAGCACTGGTGAGCTCCCCTGTGTGCATTGACTCCCCATGGGCCGACTTTCCTGGGCCATGATTCTGAGCCACAGTGTGCATGCCCCTGTGGATAGACCAGAGTGGACCAGCATCGCCCCTCTCCCTAATGTGGCTGATTCATGACTACGGAGGGACTTGAGGGTTCCAAACCAAGGCACACTTATAAATCTGGCCTACCCAGTTACAATCACTTCAAAACAGAAACCCGTGACTTGGATCGTTCACGACATGCCAAATTTTCTTTATCACTCAAATCGACAACCCCATGTACACAGGAGCAAGCAAAAGCATCATGCTAGTCGATTTCCATATCTGATTGTGTTTAGTTCTTCAGCTATTTCTGCCTCATTCCTGTTCTCCTTTTGTAGACAGGAGCAAAGAAAGGCTCAGGGACGTTCAGCAACTTGTCCAATGTCACCCAGAGGACGAGTAGTAAGCCCAGCCTCCAAACCCCCAAGTTTGACGCCCTGCAGCCTCAACACTGAGAGAGAATACGCACATCTCCCGAGCCCAGTGGATCTCTGGGAATCAGTTCTGCGACGGCAAACCTACCATTCATCTTAATTTTTTTCTGATGTTCTACGGTGTCACTGCCAATTTACTCCATCATTTTGGAATTACTGGCTAATAGGATGTCCCAGTGAACTGTTCTGATTTGTGTTTTCATTGTCTGGGAGAAACCAACCATTGAATAGTGACAGGGATGTGTCTGGACAATTGAATCACACCAAGACTCTTCTCCCTTCTCCCCTCCCTCCTGGGTCTGGTGGCGAATACCTACTTCTCTTTGTTTGGACAGAATGGGGAGACCTACCTGTGTCAGAGGGTCTGAATCATAACAGGTCCACACGGCCCCCGAGCTGGGGGAACTCTGCATCTTTTTGGTGGCCGGCACCTTGGTCATCTTGGAAATCTCTCAGGCTTTTCCAGAATCTTCTACTTTTCGAGGAGTTCCAGAAATTCCTCCCTGACTCCCAAGTTCCAGCCACACAGAACCCCCCAGAAGGGTTTCTGTGCGAGGAGGAATGGGAAAACAAATCATCCGAGTGTCCCACAAACAGGATAAGGAAGTCCCGAGGCGACGAAATCAGGCTAAGGTGGAAATCTTTACTTTTCAGAAAGTTACAAACTTTTATAAACTTCCCCCATCTTCAGAAGCGTATCTTTTTCCCTCCGATAAGCAAAATAGAATATAAAGTGAAGAAAATAAAACTCCATCAACAAAATCCCCATCCTGCCGCCAGAGTCCAAGAATCCAGGCGGCCCCAGTGCGGGGCTCAGCCCAGCCCAGCCGTGGTCAGGCAGGGTAAGAGGCGCAGCCGCCAATAGTCAGGTGCGGGGGGGGGGCCCCTCGGTTGCCGGGCAACGGGACGCCAGGCGGGGCCGCCTCATTGGCTGGGGCTGGAGGGGGTGGGGTCGCCGACTCCTGGCAGCTGCACTCAGGCTCTGAGCAGGTGGCTGGCGGGAGAGCCACGGTCTCTAAGGTCTACTTTTCCCCTCTTAGATCTAAGGATCCGGATTCTTTTCCTCCACCATTCTACACGTCTCCTCCCTTTGACCTTTGCTTCATCCTGCTGCTAACCCCTGAGTGGTTCCTTGTGCCTTGATGGGGTGTGTGTGTGTGTGTGTGTGTGTGTTGCACAACGGGTGGCTTTGGCAATTCTTAACCCAGGAGGCCTAATTCTCCCCTTTTCCTGCCTGAGAAACTTCTGCTCATCCTTCAAAGCCCTTCTACAGGTATACATTCACGCACACACACGTACATATAAACACACGTGTGTATTACGAATATAATTGTCTCTGATGTTTATTAAGAACGTGCTAGACCCTGTTCTAAGTGTTTTATATTACAATGGCAACAGAATTCTCACAGCATTCCACCTAGGAAGCTGTTATATTACCCTGTTTTACAGACTAAGCAACTGAGGCACAGAGACATTAAGTGACCCGCTGAAGGTCACACAGCATGGACCTGAGCTGGGATTCAAGGTCAGAACTGTTTGATTCTAAAACCCAATTTCTTAACAACTTAGCTGCCTGACCTGGGGGAAGGGCCCTCTATAGAGAGAGCTTCAGCTTCCATATCTTTGAAATGGGGATAACAGATTTACTACAGGTTGTTAAGGATTGAAGTAGATAATATATATAAAAGCTGAGCATATGAGAAGTCTTGGTTGAGGGTGCTGCTATTATTTCCTGACATCCTTCCTCTAGGAAGAATTAGGCATTCTGACTGTGCTGGGCTCATTTCATAGCAGATATTAATACTAACAATATTTATGAATTGCTTACTCTGTGCTAGGTACTGGACTAAGCACTTTACATACATTAATTCAATTAATCCCCCAATAACCCTGTGAGGTAGGTTCTCAGGCTGTAAAAAAAAAAAAAATATTGCACATTTGTTATTTGCATGCCTTATCCTTGGCATTACTTTACCCTGAATCAGTCGAGTTCCTGGTTTCTGCCTAAACCTTGAGCTGCTGAGGATTATGATATCATCATGGGCTTATCTTCCCCAAAAGATGACACTCCACACGGAAAGCAAAATGCCTGACTATGCGGCTCCAGGTGTGGATGGCTGGAAGTCATTATTTCCTCCCCATTGTCGGGAGACTGCATCTGACCTCCCCTTTCATGGGAAGTTCCGGTTCTGTTTCCTCTATGGGCAGCATTAAGCAACCAGCAAGCGCTTTCAGAACAATGCAGATAAACAGAACTGTGTTTAGAGGATGGGGCTGAGGGTGAGAAAACAGAGTGGGAAATGTTCAGCTCTGAGCCCAGGCTGCCTTGGCAAAGAGGGACTCAACGAGTTCCGTCTGAGCCCAAGGCATGGGAAGAGGGCTTTGGCTCAATGTGAAGAAAGACCTATGCAGCAGAGCATCATTTTAAAAGACGTGAGCTCTGGAGTCAGCTGACTTAGCCACCGAGCAGCCTCCATGGTCACTAGCCTTAAAGGACCAGGCTGAAAGCTAGATGGGACCATCTATGCAAAGTACCATGGCTGGCACAGAGGAGGCGCTCAGGGAAGGTCAGCTCCTATGTCCTTTGTTAGTACTCACCTGCCAAAGCCAGGTGAGAACTGGAAGAAGTAAGGCTTCTCAAATTCTGACCCTGTCATTTACTGGTTAGAAGAACTGGGTCAAGTCACTTCTCCAAGGCTCCGTTTTATTATGGATGGGAAGTCCATGTACAGGGATGGCCAGGCCCGTCCATCTTATGCCTGCCCCTGGGAGTAACAAGTAGAATGACAAGTGTATAGAGCTTGTTTGGCAGAAAGGGCTCAGTGGGTGCTATTTCCCTTTTCTGTCTACAAAGGGGTGTGCTCCCTAGGGAGGAAATGAGCTCCCCAGCACCGGTGGCATTCAACCAAGGGCTCTCTGGCTTCTCGATGGGTGGAAGAGGCCCCAGTGATCACTCGGTGGTGAGTGACTACTTGACATTTAAGGTCCTTTCCAAACAGAACTTGGGAGACAATATATAGTTCAGCTGGCGTTTAAATCCCAACGTGGCCCATGACCAGCTGCGTGACTTTACCCAAATGATGGCTCCTCTCGAAGCTTGTGTTTTCTCATTACAGAAAGGAGATTAAAAAAATAGGACCTATGTAAAAATGGTGTGACATACACACAACATTTCGCACAGTACCTGACACATCATAAAGACGTGGTAAATGATAGCTATTGCTAGGCTATGATCATAAGAACGAAATATTTTCTAGATCAATCTAGTACTTTGGGGAAAAAACTTGTTAATGAGGAATAGCCCCCCAACCCTGGAGATTCATGGCATCTCCCAGTCTAGTTGCTGGATGAACACACACACACATACACATAACCTTAACAAAAAAGTGTACAAAGGGACATATTGATTGATTGAGCTCCTTCAGTAGAAGACCCCAGATGTGTGCTATCATTTGGATATGATTTGAGTGCATCCCCAGAGTCACATGTGTTGGGAGTTTGATCCTCAGTGTGGCAATGTAAAGAGGTGGCTGTCCCTTTAAGAGGCGGGGCCTAGTGGAAGGTCATTAGGTCACTGAGGTGCTGCCCTCAGCAGGATTTCATGTAGTTCTTGTGGGAGGTTGGTTGGTTCTTGTGAGAGGGTGGTTACCAAAGAACGAGCCTGGCCGCTCCCTGGTCACTCTGGCTTCTGATCTCACATCCGATTTCTCCCTCACCCATGCTGTCCTGCATGACGCCTTCGCCATAATGTGATGCAGCCAGGGGTTCCCTCGGCAGAACCCGCATCATGCTGTTTGGACATCCAGATTCTGAGTCTGTGAGCCGAGTAAACTTCATTTCTTTCTAAGTCCCTCAGCCTCAGGTATTCTGTTATAGCAGTGGGCTAATACAATGGGCAAGAGACTTATTGGGGGGCATAATACAAAGAGGAGGGGCAGGGATAGGCATGGAGAGTCTGGTGATGGGAGGACGGAAGGGGGGGGATTGGAAGGGAGGAATCACACATGATGATACAGCTCTGAGAAAGTCTCAGCCAGGCTGATGGGGAGGCCCTGATTCAAAGTAGCCTGCTAGACGAATCCCCCATGGGGCAGGAACGGCCTGGCTCTAGGCCCCCACGGTGCCCACTCGTTGGCTGGGAGCGTCTGGGTGTGGGATGCGTGACCCATGGAATCAAAGCCTGGAGTATGTATTAAAAGACACAGCGCCTGCCAATCAGCCGTGCTCCCTGCAGACCCTCTGGGAGGGACGTCAAAGCCTCCACAGGCCCTGGAGGCTTGGCTAGTGGTGTGATCCAAGTCTTCATTCCCGAGGATTCTGCGCCCTTCCACAAATACGCTCTCCTTTTGGTCTCAGGTTGCCCCATGCGTCATTCTCTGCTTAACGTTGGTCAGGAGAGTTCTGGGGACACAGCTGGATCACACACGTTCATCATGGATTCCTTCCTGCCCTCCCCCAACTGCATAACTGTCAATCAGGGTCAAATCTTCCTGACAAAGTGGTCACCCCTTTTCTCTCCTGCTAGTCCCCAGACACACAGCATCCAAGTGCCCTGTAGCAACGATAGCTGTAGTCAGAAAGAGCCATGCTTTGTCCCCTGGCAAAAATGTGACCATTTGGGGGAACCTGGACTCTCACCTTGCAGAGCTCAGAGCTGCAGAAATTGGAAGGTCAGAGTCCCTCAGGGGTTATTGGACATGAAGGGTGGAGAGACCCCTCTGTTTCTCTGTCTTGGCTTCTGTGTGTGGAGGACGCAATGCTACTGATGGGGTTCATAGCAATTGCAAAGCATCCTTGCTGGGGTTCCGCTCTGCCTTCCCTGGACTGGTCCAGAATCTATGGCACCAGCTGCCTCGGGTGCTGTGGTCTGTGTGATGACTGGATCCCATGCCAAAGTGAAGTAGGTCCTACAGCTGAGTTTCCGTGGGCATTGACGACATAATGGTAGCAGGTGGGGTTGGGACCCGGTCAACACTCAGTTCCCAGTTCCCAAGAAGCACTCTTTGCTACCATTTTGCCTTGAAATCTCTCACTGGATACAACAGATGTTCCTAAACTTTCTTAGCTCATGGTGCCTTTTGCTTCTCAATAAATTTTTAACGGCATCTCTAAGCCAAAAGAAATATCTTGAGAAGCCCACTTGTTAAGTAGTTTGGCCCATGCAACTGAGTACATATTTAGATCTTAAAGATGTTGTCGCCATTTGATAAAATGCAACACGTACCTGGAAAGAAAACTTTGCATTTGATTCTTAAATAGCCACAGTTGCTTTCCAACCAGACAGGTGTTCCTGGTGGGCACTGCACAACTTCTCAAACTTTGGAATCAAATTTTTGGACACTTTCACCTTCACACTCGATGGCATATTGACTTTAAAATTTTTTTTAAAACTTTGTTTATTTTGATGCGGTGCTGAGGATCGAACCCGTGCCTCACAAGTGCTAGGCAAGTGCTCTGTCACAGAGCCCCATCATAGCACATTGGCTTTTGCACAAATGTCACTTTTTATCACAGTAACACCCCAATATTTGGCTCTATAATGATAGAATATTATGGAAGGAATGTTATGTCATCTGCTGCTGAAATTGAGTGTATTAGTCAGGGAGGACGATCCTGACCAGGCAAATTAAACAACAGAGATTTCATTTCTCATCATTTGGGGACTAGAAGTCTGAGATCAAGGCGTCCCCTCCACCCCCCGCCGTTGGTTCGTCCTGACGTGTCTCTCTTTAGGTTGCAGATGGCCACCTTCTCCCTGTGTCCTTGTGAGGCTTACCCTCTGTGTGTTTTCGTCCAAGTTTCTTAAAAAGACACCAGTCATAGAGATTAGGGTCCACTTTAGT